GGGGGGGGGGGAATGTATAGCCGAGAGGAAAGAAATAATAAGAAAGTGGAGAAAATTTATAATGAGGAAGTTCGTAATTTCTACTTGACGGTTAATATTATATCTGGCTACCTCGTGGAGGAGGGTCCTTCTTGTGAAGCCAACAGTTACAAATCTACTCAAGAATTTACCAACATTATATAGAACCCGAAGGTTCATTACCGTTTGCACACGATCCCTCAACTGGTCCATCCTATTATAATCCATTTTTTACTGTTCGACACTGAATTACTTACGCACAAGCGATGAGGCGTCATGAGGTGATATTGATGAATCTATTTCTCGCTTAGTAGGGGGTGGAGTCCAGCTGGGTGCACTCGGCACAGCGGCCACTGATTGGCCTATTGTAGCATGCCCCGGGTGATTATGATGATGGAGAATTTGGTGGAATACACATTGGCAGGGGAAACCGAAGTACTCGGAGAAAACCCGCCTCAGCGCCACTTTGTCCACCACAAATCCCACTTGACCAGGCCCGGGATCGAACCCGAGCCGCCACGGTGGGAAGCCAGCGACTAGCCACTTGAGGTATGGCGCGGCCTTGATGACTTTACAGTTCGTGTCAGTTTCGCCGATACGCAGATACCAGTTTATTACAACCAATTTTTCTGAACCTGAGTCAGATTTCTGACTCCATCCCCCGAAAAGAATTCCAAGACCCGCGACATACTTCGAGTCCAAGTGATAAATAAAAATTCAAGGAAATGATTGAATATTCCTTACAATTCTTGGCGGCTACATTTCCCATCTGTCTAGGTCTTCTAATGGTCTATTTCCTTTTGGTTTTCCCACCAAACTCTTGTATGCAGCCTTGCTTTCCTCCATGCATTCTGCAAGCCTCGCCCATCTCATCCTGCTTGACTTGCTCATAAGAGTTAATAGTATGTACATCAAATTAAGATGGATATCGTGAGTGGGACATATAGCACACAAGGAACAGATCAGAACTTCATAAAAATGTTTGTGTTGTAAACCTTGAATCGGAGAGATCCACTTGGAAAACGAAATATGTATGAGAGCATAATATTACAGTGGAGCATAAATATGTAGAATATAACGGTGTAATCACCGGGGCTTTGTATCAATGATACACGCTGCTATCTCTCTTCTGAGTAGAACTTCGACCTTCCTACCTGCTCAATTAAGTTCAAATCTCATGCAGAATCTATATATAAGGTTCCACAAAAACATAAAACAGTCCCTTATCACTGTGGTTTACACTGCTGGAAGTTGCATTTAGGAGAGCAACAGGTGCTGTTAATGCTCTCAGAAGCCTGTTCTGTCCCTAAAACTCAAAAACTCTTAATGGTATGTTTACATACAAATTAGAAATAAAATATAAGAGCCTGCTTCAAAGAAATACACAATATCAGTAATTTGTAAGCTAGAAAACTGTTATCATATATCACTAAAGCCATTCCTCTAACAAACATCCACCTCCTGGTGTAGATGTCACCAGCCATTTTCCATATTCACAGATTACTAAGTCCAGAAAGAGTGCCCATTAATATAGTACACAAATTTCCCATTGTTGTTCTTATGGACTTTATTAAGATTACATGCAGGCTATATCTTGGTCTAGTGGTCAGAGTTCCTGGCACAGATCCAGAGGTCCGAGTTCAATTCCCGGCCCTATTAGATTTTCTGAGAAGTAGTGGTTCTGGAACGGTGTTCACTCAGCCTCATGAGGATAACTGCGGAGATATTTCAAGGAAATAGCTGCTTCGGTTTAGAAAACCGAGATTCACGACCATGGGGATTCGTTGCGCTGACCACGTGACAACCTCTATCCGCAAAAGTTGACACTAACTTCGCCGATTAAGTGCATTCCGTATATAATGCCTCCTATTTTTTAAAGAAAACTGCAAAGATGCAGAAATCATAATAACGCAGTTAAATAGAGCAAGATTTCAGCTACTTAAGCCATTTTTCCACATAATCACCACCATTCGTTATTCACTTTTGCCATCGATGAACAAGAGCCTGTATGCCGTGCCCGTAAAAGTCTGCGCCAGCAGAGGCTAGCCACTTTCTTACACCTGCAACGACAGCATCGTTGTCTGGAAAATGTTGCCCACGTAGTCCGTCTTTCATAGGCCCAAAGAGATGGAAGGCTGAAGGTGCTAAATCGGGGCTATAAGGAGGATGTTGTAGGACAGTCCAGCCAAACTTTGCAATGTGCGCGGTGGTCGCCAAACTGGTATGGGGTCTAGCGTTATCGTGTAGCAAGTGAAAGGTTGTCTGCTTCTCTGGCCTGACTCGGGATATACGGGCTTTCAGCTTAGTCAGCGTCGTCTTGTAGCGTTCAGAATTGACAGTCCCTGGTCGTTATCTGCTGATCTGTTCGGATGAGGCGCTGTTCATTGTGAGAAGTGACAGCTGAGCAGGGACGCCCATGGCGTGGCTTGTCGTGCACTTCAATTTCGCCACTGTTGAAACGCACTATCCACCGAATCACTGTGCTGACATCCACTGTATTGTCTCCGTACACCTTTAGCAAGTGTCGATGGATGTCAATGGGTACAATTTGTTCGGCAGTGAGAAATTCAATAACACATTTCTCTTTCATATGTCAGACGCCATTTTGGTAGATTGCTCTGCTGTCGCTATCTGTCGCATGACAACCAAATTAACAATACATTGGCGGGAAGGTTAGACCTTTACTACAACGCCACCAACATCCAGCTCAGACGTTACATATTAACACAAAAAAATAGGAGGCCTTATATACGGAACACACCACTTATTAGTGATGCAGGAAAACAAGGAATCATTTGTATAGTCATAAGAATATCAGTCTGCTTTCATCCAGGTAATTCTTAATTCATGTGCTCTGTTCCAGTGAACATTGAAGTGCCGCTATCCAGTAGTCATGCTGAATCCTGCTGGACTGTCCTGCTCATGGGATCTTTATTCATCCTCCTCCGATGAAATTGTCATCTACAGTGCATCTTCATCGTTCATGATCCATTATAACTTGCTGGTGACCGAAACAGTTTAGTACCCATTGACCCATGAAGAGAGAGACTGAAATCTTTTTTCACCTCTGAGTTAGTAGGTACATGTAAGAACAGGTATGCACAAAGCCAATTACTGTAAATATCTTGGACGTCATCCATCATCTAGATCAGTGTCTGTTGTCACATCTCACTGGTGGGATTTGGCAGTCAGCTGGGTGGAGCATGAGGTCTCTAAATAATATTTCAGTCACACAAAATTCAGGTTTATGAAGAGTGTTATCTCTCTGGTTTCGAATATTTTTGTATAACATATTTCTAAAACACATGAAGGAGGTTACTCAGGATTACTGCTAATAAACTATATTGTTTGTATATAATTACAACAATAAAACGGAAGTTTTTACGTTTTTAAGTTCTTAAGAACTTCCATTAATGATTAATATTACACTAAAATGGACATAACTGTAATAGTACACTTCTTGGAAAAAGAGAAGCTTTGTTTTTTCTGTGGTAGAAATGTGCTTTGTTGACAGAATGGCCAATGACACACAAGATGCATAAACATGAGAATCACTGGTCTAGAGGTTTTTCTGAACACCACTTTTGGAAAAAAAATAATCTTTCATTTTGGTCTCAGGAGAGGTCCAGTGACTGAGATTAGTTGTCTCTAACTGATCCTTTCAATATTTCAGATGATTTCTTGCTGAAGATAGAAACAGATTCAGCTCCCAAAGTTCTAAGAAGAGCAGTCTAGACAATGGATACATTCCAAAATATTAAAACTGTGATGTGTCTTGCGAAAATAGAAACAACAAACCAAAGTCCTCAGATACGTCAGTTCTTCGTCTCCCAGATACTATGAATTGTCATAAGTTGAAGGGGGCAAGAAATGGTATAGTGTTTGTTCTAAAAATAATGTACTTTAAACAGTTATTTATAGTCAGTTTTGTAATACTCTTCTATTAAACTCTTAAACTCTTCAGACAAACTCTGTTTGTAGCTCACTGAATAGTTTACTGACACTGAAGCATCTGCGTATTTTATGGTCCATTTAATTTACATCATATCTTTAAGGTGAATATATAAAGTAAAAAAAGTAAAGCTACCCATGTAACAGGCCGTGAAGGCCCATAGGGTTGTGAGACGTTAAGGGTCCCTAATTACCTTGACAATCGGCTCAAAGATGGCGGTAAGGTTGTCAGCCACGCTTTATTCCCCAGGAAAATTATTTAATTAATTCCTGGTATTCATTTCCGTTAGAGGCTGAGTAAACCCCAGGGCCTAGTGCGGCCAGAAGGATTAGGTCAATTGAAAAAATCCAATGACCTCATCGAGATTTGAACCCGCGGACTTCCGGCTTGTAGCATACTACCGCGTGCCCCCAAGGTGAATATATGGCTGAAAATATCTTACCTGAAATTTTACCATTTCCCTTTCTTCCATTTCATTTTCACCACAAATTTGGATATGTTGAATAACAAGGGAGATACTTTAAGTAATCAAGTCCTACTAAAATACATACATTGAGATTCTCTTGCCAGAAAACCTAAACATTCCTCAATAACTTCTTAATTTTTGTATGGTTCCCCATGAACATTGATATGGACGAAGCTTACGTCTATGGAAGCAGAAACACCATACCCCTAAACGAAGTGAACTCTACCCGTGACGTCGAAACACGACCGCCATACAGGCGTTTGACTCAGTATAGAGCGTATAGAGTGACTGCATGTGCCGCAAACATGTAGTCAGCTGAACATTGTGATTATTGTTCGTGAATAGTGGCGAACAGTTTCGTGTAAACAACGTCAAAGGGGATTTCGGAATAAGTGTAATGAAGGAAGTGTACCAACAAAATCCCATATTCACACACAGGTGAAAAAAATAGAGGCAAACGGAAGTGTTTTCACTCGACACACACGACGCCGGAAGATGTGTGATCGCGCGGTACAGGATGTGAAGGATCAGTTACTGGCATCGCCAAGAAATTCCTTAAGAAGGCTTTCGCAAGAAACTGGCTTTCCATATTCCACGGGTCAAAAAACTGTCAGAAAAACGAAACTGCACCAATATCGTGTACTCAATGTCCAAGATTTGCTTTCCACTGGATTTGGAGAAAGGCGTATGATATTATTTATGGTTCCAACGTTTAGTTGGACAATATCCGGGGATTTTAGACATTACATGGTTTACGGTTGAAGCCTGATTTCTTTTGAGTGGCTACATAATCTTCAAGACAAGCGGGTATGGGCAGAAGAAAATCCATGTGAAATTTATACGGAGCCTTTCCATTCGGAGGAAATCGAGATGTTGTATGCCTTGTCCCATAAACGAATTATCGGTCCATATTCTTCTATCAGCTTGTTACCACAGAGATGTACTTGGACATGTAGTTACTATAGGATTCTGACAATGGTGTATGACACACTGATATATTGCGTTTTTGGACTTTATCCATCGTCCAGGACGATGGATAAAGTCCAAAAACCGAATATATCAGTGTACTTGGACATAATCAATGAATTTGTGAATCAGTTAACAGATGACAAATTAGCGGAAGGTTACTTGCAACCAGAAGGCGTGACGTACCACACATCTAATGCAAGCATGAAGAAAATTGAAAGTTATTTCGGTGACCGATTAATTTCGAAAAATCTGTGACCGCCAAGATCACCAGACCTGACGCCACCTGATTTCTTCTTATGGGGTTTACTGAAGGGTCGTATATACAGCAATAAGCCGCAGACAATTGTCGCCCTGAAAGATGCCATAGGGTGGGTAGTTGCTGCCGTTACCGATGTCACATTACCAGATGCCTTCGCCAGTTTGCAGGCCTGCATACAAAAGTGCTTGGATGCTGCAGGGGGCCATTTTCAGAATATGCTCTAGGCAGACCTTCTTTTGCAATGTACAAGGTAGGTATGTCAATTTTCATATGGAACCATAAAAAAGGTAAAAAGTTATTGAGGAATGTTTGGGTTTCCTAGCGAGAAAATCACTCTGTATATGCATTATCTTATAATGTCTTTAAATTTCTAAACTTTTTGTAATTTCTTCAGAGAGGAATGATGTGATATGAATTTCTTGAAACTTTTAATCAAAAAAATTATAAGATTATATTCACGTGCACAGATATGGAATTCAAATATATACTGACAAAATTTTGTTCTGTTTTTAATGGGATAACTTGTGCGTTTCTGCCCCACTTTTATTGTCATAACTTCCTAATTGTGCTTGACAATCAAACTCATCATAACTTATTATCTAAATGAACTGTAAATTTCAGTTTCTCCTCACAGACACATGTTCATCATGAGAGAGTATTTTGGAATATACCTAGCTTATTAAACAATTTGTTTTCACATGACTAACTCCAGAGATGCAGACGTCACACTACATGGCATGTAAATAAATATACATAAGTGAATCCTGTAACTTCATTACTACCTGTGGAAGACAGCTTTAGCCGATGAAAATGGCACTTATTCTCCATTATGAGATACATAACGAAATTCAGATGCATATGACATTTCTTGGAGAATATTTTTTAATATTTTAATCAGCAGTTATTAATTAATTTTATATAGGAGAGGTATTATTTAATTACATTTTAAGAAACATTTCCCCAGTCGAACATTGTTTGTTGGAAATCCACTTGTGTGTTTCCTGAAATCTCAGACATATGAAACTAGAAGAGAGATTCAGTATTTTAGAGGCTACCTCTGCTTCCACAATCAGAGTTTGGTCTGATGAGTGACATAACCACCCATTGTACAACCCTTGATATTGGGACAGAGGCTGTCTTCGAAAGTTTTGTTATCAACTCTGTTTCTGCCTTCAGAGTGTTTAACTATTGCAGACCATTTACTGCACAGGTATCAAGTGTGTGACAGTGTTCCCAGGCTGCTTTTCAACAAAACAGACTACAATTTATGTAGCAAGAATATGTACACATTCACATGTATGACTCCAGTTTCTTTATTTCTCCTAAGACACATGTTACATTGAGACAAATCTGCAGTAAATATGTCTTCTGGTTGAACTTCTGAGTTCTAACAAAAACATTCTTTATAATAAAACTCTCAGGTGTTCAGGTGTTTCAGTATGAAATGAACTTGTGACATTATAGACATTGTCTCTAACTCCCTCATTATCATTACTGTTGGAAATGGTGACCATACTGATACGTCTGATTGCCCAAGAAACCTTAATCGCATTCAGTCAATGAGAAAGCTTCAAATTGCATGAAACTTATTTTTTTTTGTTTCTCATGATTATTAGGCAAAATTATGATCTGAAAGTACAAATCAGTTTTCAAGTACTTAAAGTTGTAAGCTACAGACTACATACATACTACAAAATAATTTAGAATAAGCATGTATGAGACAGTTGAAAGGAATTAGAAGTGGAATCCATGTTTACAGAATTTTGAAATATAAAACAAACTGAATTCAAGATGCCGACAAAATTAAAACACCTAAGATTTCCAAAAATTTTAAAAGTTTACAGATGTAATGCATCAAAGAACTGGAGAAGAATGTACTCATTCTGCCGCACAGACACAGGAGAGTTTCTTTTTTTATTGCTAGTGGGGTTGGACTAAGTCCCTTGTACTGCGGCCACTTCTGGCCTATTGTACCAACCCTAGATGATAGGTGAGGGTGATTGTGGAGCAATTGGTGAAATGAAGATTGGCAATGGACCTGAAGTACTCGGAGAAAACCTGCCCCAGCGCCACTTTGTCCATCACAAATCACACTTGACCAGACCTGGGATCGAACCCGGGCAGCTGCGGTGGGAGGCCAGCAAGTGATAAAACTTAAATAGTCACACTGGACGGTGTTGTTTTTGTCTTTGTAATTTTTAGTGTGGCGGACCAGAATGAAACAAATTAAATTACATTTAAAATTTCCAATACTGCCAAGCCAATGCCCAAGGCAGTAGAGTGCAAAGCACTTTCAGTGCGTTGAGATTATGTCAGATATACAGAAAAGCTGGAAGAAGAAAATTTTTGTATTTTGTTTATGAAAAATGATTGAACCCATCACATCAACACAGTAGAATCCTCCTCTGACAGCTCAAGCAAGAAATAGCAAGGTGATGATAAGAATTCATAATAAATAAAAAGGCAGTTCTATTTCATTTTTCATTTTGTGTTAACAAAAACAATCAGCCTGCTTCACGTACTATTTGTAATTACTTGGCCCCATCGCAACAAACATACATATGCACAGAATACTAGAAACAGTGATCTGGCAGCATTGCAGACTGTATCATAGGGTCTCTCTCTGAGTGTTGACTTATTCCACCAACAATGGCGAGAGTTCCTTTGTACTGAAGTATCAAATGGGCCTATTGCATCAGCACCAGATTGTAGACTAATGTGAAGCAGTGGTGGAATGATAGTTGAAAAGGGAAGACAGAATAGCCCAGAGTAAAGCCTGTCCTGGTTCCAATTTTTTCACCATGCCTCCGATGTTAAATAGTCTGCGATTAAGCCCAGATCTCTGTAGCAAGAGGCTGGTTTCTGACTGCTTGAACTGTGGTGTTGCCACAGTGTAGTAGTGAGTAGTGTGAAGAAAACGCCCATCTTATGAAAATATCACGACATAAAACTTCCATGTTAAAGTTCAGAATATTTTGAGCCCCATTTTGAATAAATTTCACAGACATTTGCCCCCCATTTCTTTTTTTGAAAAAATCAGAATGAAAGAAAATATATAAATATTAACGCTAAACATTAAAGCAATTAAGAAAATATTCTAAAAGGCCTCCGTGACATGCATGTAAATTTGTAAAAAATTTTCTGGCTGTCACTGAAATTCCTCCCCTAGAAAAACAAATTTCGTGGTTGTAGTCCACAAGCGAACTATACCGACCTAGCTACCGCCGCTTGTCGGCGAAGTGAGTGCCAAATTTAGCGGATAGAGGGTTTCACATGGTCAGCGGAACAGATCCCCACGGTCGTTAATCTCGGTTTTCTAGACCGGAGTCGCTATTTCTTTGAAATAGTCCCTCAACTATCCTCACGAGGCTGAGTGGACCCCGTTCCAGTCCCACTGCTCAGAAAATCTGGTTGCGCCGGGAATCGAACTCTGGACCTCTGGATCTGTAGCCAGGAACTCTGACCACTAGACCACAGCCCTTCCATAGCAAATTCGGGTGGTACCCATTTAGCCGTATTTAGTTACAAAGATGGGCTGTAAGTGTGGTACTAAAATTTTAATTATCTTGTGTTCGAAATGCAATGTAATAACCTATTTACAAACTTATAAATATGCTATTTATTACAGAAGATAAATCATTTAATTTGTTTAGTTATTGATATGTACTTATTATTTTTTATCCCATATACTGCCATGTTATAATTCATTAGAATGATATAATTGGCATTAATTTATTTTAGCGGTTTAGATGTTCCTAATAAGTTTCTGGCTAAGATTTGATGGTGTTTAGTCTATATGGCTTTGTGAGTATAATATTAATATCGAATTCCCCTTCCTAGCAGGACATAAACTTTTACTTCCAATGAATGAGTTCAACGCTCGTTTGAAAGATTACATTATAGGATATTGCCTTGTTTGTTCCTAAATTTCTTTTCACTTAAAGATATTGAAAACATCAGAAGAATAATAGCTGATTGTGAGCACGTAAGTATGGATTGAAAGCTCTAGATCGCATTAAATGGAGGAATTCTTTTGGAAGAGACTGTGGACCTGTCGTCTTTACAGATTACTGATGATGATGATGATGATGATGAGGTACGGATTATTTATATTTCTTCACTAAACATATATTTTTGATAATGAAATTAACCATCAGACATTTGAAATACAGAATAATAATAATAACGTATTATTCGTGGAATATAAAATTAGCTCTAATAAGCAGTACTGCAGTTGAGGTTCTCAAGACGACTGTGAAGAGGACTATTTTCTGGACGTGACGCAGTATAGTCCCATAAACGTTTATCGACTTTTCAGTGGAACGTAGAGCCTCCTTGTTCAGGGCTGAAGAGTAAGCCAAGCAATTAACCAACAAGAAACAAGCTCCTATTTGCAGGGTTTCTGCAAAATTATCGTGAACTTCTGCTGCACTCCACGCACTGCGTCACATCTGGGAAGACGGTGGTCAGTATGTTCATATTTTATACGCCTGGACAGATAAGAATATGTTCAGCAAACTCAACGGTTTGAAGAATTGTAACTTTGGAAATTACGTATCAATAATAGCGATTGTTTGTCACATACATTCTTGATGAGATGAAAGAAAGAAAAGAGATAATTATAACGATTTTCAGCTAGCAGCTTCTATGAAAACAAACGTATATAAAAGACGAATTTTGGAGAATTCATTCATTTAAAAAGTGTGTTTGTTAGCATATGTTGGTAGGTACGTTATATGAGTGACTTCATGTTCAGAATATATCTTTCCTAGATATTAAAAGGTACCATTATTACTGACTTGGTAACGTATGCATTCATTTATAAATGAAGTCCGCATTAAAGATAGAGCTTGGCTTATATTTTCAAAAATGTTATTAAAATAGTACTTATTAATTAATACACATAAAACTAACTGTTTTCATATGTTTGAGTATAGTCCTTGCACTGATATAGGTTAAGAATACATACACAGTTACCTGTCATAAATGTACATAATGATTATCGATTTATTTGTGGAACGTTTATGTGTTGATTTACTTATGTCATTTTATTACATATTCATAAATTAACTGTCTGTCTAAACGTTGCTGTTATGTTAATCGAATATAATCAAATATGTTATGTGGTTTTTCTGGTCTCTTTTGTCACAGTGTGAAACCAGTCTGTGGTTACCGAGAACCAGTGCTGTTGCAATGTACTGCGAAACTGGTTATTTATTTTCTTTCATAAATTATAATTTGTAATTAAAT